AGTATAATGCAACGACACATTTAGAAAACCATGTTTGTGGTATTTGTATGACCCTAAATTTTACACACATACTCTCTTCATCTCAATAATCAATCCCCCCTTCCCCCCCCCGCAAAAAACATTCAATTTGAACCTTAGATAAGGTCAAAATGAGTCTCATCCAAAAACGAATCTAGACCATTCATTTTGTGAATTTCAAGATCTTTGCCTTCGTAAGCTCAAAATCATTTTTTCCTTTTTTAACATTGTTCATCTAATGATAATAAAACCATCCAAAAAAATTAGAAATGAAAAAAATCCTTCTAAGGCCTAGATCTAAACATCTCGCCAAAATGGATGGCCTATATTGATTGGGCTAAAAAAATACTTTCTAGGTTGTGTTTTCAATTTTTTTCATTTTTTTGTGATTGTTTATTAGAATGAAAAGAGTGTATATTTCAAAATTTGGATCAAACAAATGGCCATAAGATGGTTTTTTAAGGTTGTTGCATCATATTACTATACAACGGTAACGAAATCATTGCCTGAACACTTGAAAATCTTGAAAATTGATGGTATAAAAAATGCATTACAAGATGCACTATTTCCTAGATTCCAAGTCAAAATTTTCACATGTCCATACATCCTTAGGTCAAGATGATTAACTTGAGGATCGTCGGGCATCGAAACAACCTCTTCTAGTAAAATTTTGAGGTGTACCTTAATTAGATTGTTTAGAGCCTCGTTTTTATAGAAGGGAAAATTACAAATAACTCTCAAGACTAGACATTTTATGCAAGGTACCCCCAATCAAACTTTTTTTTCTTACTTTTTCCCCCAAAATACACTTTTCTAACAAATACCCCTCAAGTAAAAAAATATACTTTTTTTTGACAAAAATATATTTTTTCGTGCACAAAAAATTAATTTTAGCCAGACATTCACGTGGGCTTACATGGGCTGCCGGACCACTCTTTGGCATTGCCCGACCCTGTTAAACTAAAAAAGTGTTGGATCATTCTTTTACATTGTCGGACCGCACTTTGGGCTTGTTGCCGGACCACATGGGCCTATTGTCGGACCGCTCTTTAGTAGTGCCGGACCGCATAGGCCTATTATCAGACCATTCCTTGTCAGTGCCAGACCTCCACTTGTATTGTTGGACTGCCACCGTTATTTACTGGACCGACATTACACTACCAGATTGCTCTAAGAATACGCCGGACTGCCTTTTCGTGGGAAAGAAGAGAGAGAGGCATGGGTAAAAGTAAGGGAGGGTAGTTTAGATTTTTTTTAGTGTGGAGATATTTGCTAAGAAAGTTTATTTGGGATAAAAAGTGAGGAACAAAGCTTGGTTGGGGGTAACTTGCATAAAAAGTCTACTATTGGGAGTTGTTTATAATTTTCTCTTTATATAAACTTTGTCTATATAGAATTACAGAACAAAGCTTTTTAAATTCCTAAAAAAATGATTTTGAGTTCTTAAAAACCGTAAATTTGATCATTTCAAACAGATGGTCCACAATCAATCTTGGACCTGAATAAAAATAATTTCATAGCTTAGGGGTCGTACAAATCTCGTGTCATGGTGTGTCTTGGCTAAGGGCCAAATTGTGCATTCATACCTAGAGACCACAAATTTATTTCTATTAAATTTGAAAATAAGAGAAATATACAGATAACTGTCACTTTAATTTTTGAAATTTAAAATACTTTCCTATGTTTAATAGTACGCTGTATTTAATTTTGTTTACTTTTTATATAATAGATTAAACTAAAAAAACTTGTCAAAAAATAAAAGATTAAACTCAAATTTATGGCGTACCTTCTTCTTACCATCGCACACGTATAGAAATATGAAAAATTAATTTGGAAGAAATAAAATTACCAAAACACCTATGGATCGTTTAGAGGTATATTGGTTATTTTTATGTATTTTTTATACAGTCATGGTGGGAAGTATGGACAATGTAAATTTTGAATATTTGTTCTTAATCTAATATGCCAAAACAATAAAATGTAAAAATTAAAATGCACTTATATGCTCTTAAAAAGTTGAACTTAAATATAAAGTATAAATTATAAAGACTATTTTTAAATTTAAAAATAAAATAGAATTCCTTATAAATATTTCCTTGAAATATAAATGATTATATTTTGGGGTAATATTTATAAAAAACATTGGCAGGGTAGCATTAAAAACGTCAGAACAATATCTTGGAGTAGTGCTAAAAAGAAAGAAGAAAGTATACAAATGTATCATTTATTTTTGGTACAAGAAAATCATATTTTTGTTCATCAAATTTCAAATCAGGTGGTTGTAAGAGTGTCATTAACTAGACTCAAAATTTGAAAATTATTTTCTCAAACTTGGTGATACACCCAAGTCTTCTAATTTGACATGTAATGACCAAGAGCAATTGTGACATACTTAATACCAAAAATAAATACATTCCCAAAGAATACTAACAAGAAGAGGTCACTCTTTGCAAATCAAAGTGCCCTTGCCTTCTTTGTGATGGACTCTTTATCTCTCTCACATAAGAAACACAGGGGAAGTCACTTAACAAACCTAATTGCCCTTGCCTTCTTTGTGATGGGAACTCTCTCTCTCTCTCTCTTAAAGGAAAAAATATTTTCATATAAGGGAAGTAAAAATTATTTTTCCCCCATCTCAGCATTACACTTGAATCATGGCTATCTTTCTGATAGGGAAGGGTAATCCAATGTTTAATCCTAATTTTATCATTTTATTCTTTTGTCTGTTTACCAATCTTTGATTTGTGGCTTAGCTGGAATTCAAACATTGTGTTCACACAGGTGTAAAAATATATTTATATTGCCCATCTCCCACGCGGTTAGGGTTGTGGTGTTAGAAAGTGACATCAAGGATTCATTCCTAACCATTTAAAAAAAAAAAAAAAAGGTTTATGTCTGAAAAGAAAAAGAAAAGAAAAGAAAAGAAAAATGGTTTCGAATCTTAGGCTAGTGATTTAGAAATGTATAACATAAGACTGTTTATTTGTGATATAAAGAGGTCACAATTATTACTTACTATTAGATATAAAATCAGATGGTTAGAAATATATCACTAATTGGGGATAAAGTCCAAATAAAAATTTACGAATAGTATAGCACACTTCAATTTATCAAATTTAACATTCAAAGGCTTACAATGATTGTGATCTCGTTGTT